ACAAGTGAGTCAAAAAACTGTGGTGAGAGTTGGTTTTGTTAACTTGTCATGGAATATTTAGTCATGTTACATATTTCTAAGATATTGTAAAATAATTATATATTATATTTGACCCTGTTTTGTCCCTGTTGCTTTTAAGCAATAAAAAAAACCTAATTTCTGGGGAGTTTTCCATTTTGTCCTGTTCTTCTTTCGTTTTGAGAATAGGTGCTTTTAGGCAGGATTGTTATACTGCACTTACATGCTCTGATCAATGGGGGGAACTCTAGCAAAGAAATGTATGTGTGTCATGAGATGCCACTACCAGCAATACGAAGGTCTATTAAGTATAGTAGTTACGTTTGTATATGTGAAACACCCGCAAGGCGGTGAGAGGTCACATTCTGGATCTTAAGAGTAAAGAAAGGCAAGAGCAGTGTGTTAGTAGTACATGAAATGTTGGATGTTTGTGGTTTGTACGCGTAGTCCATATATTTACTGTGCAAGACTTGGATAGTTACCTTGTCCTGGATGTACAGTTTGGGTCATCCTGCATTTACATTGTTTTATTGTATTTTTAGCTTAATCTACCAGCATTTAATCTCATTGCAGATTTAGTTTTTCTCCAAATCTGTTTTGCTAGCTTTTTTCACCCTCACAGACTTGGCAACCATCAGTCTTTAGAACGACTCCTTTGTGGACTTCAGAAAAAAAAAAGAGTGAGTTTGTATTGTTTGCATTTTATTGTTACACATGTTTTAAAAACATGCAGTTGATTCTTGGTTATTTTAAGGTTACTTTGTGGTTAACAGTAATGTGTAGGAGATGACACAACAATGAATGGACAACACAAACACCGTACAAAACAAGGCAACAAACAGTACTACAGTGTAAAACTGCAATGTAAGCCTTGTTATTCTTCCCCAAGAGCATTCCTCAGCCTCTGAAAGATGCAAATGCAGCAGTGAATTATAGACTCTGTATGCTCTCTAGTCTCTATGACTGATAAACTGATTTGTTCTATCTTCCCCTTTAAAATGAATCATTAACGCAAATGTGACGACAATTAAAGTGGGTGGACATTGACTGCACTTCAACACTTGACCTGTTTCCACTTCTCCACTTCTGCTGAAAGCAGACAGTTGCTGCTTTCTTTGCCAAGATCTTCAGAGATATATCAACTCAGGGACAGTCTTAATAATACCACAACTAAAATGGCTTGCAAGCAGCAAAGTCAGCAAGATGAGCCACATGGAGTTGACCTGGACTGCATTCAGTTTTCCTGTTCAGTGTGTTTGGATCTTCTGAAAGAACCCGTCACCATTTATTGTGGACACAATTATTGTAAAAGCTGCATTGAGGATTGCTGGGATGGAGAGGAGGAGAAGGGTGAATACAGCTGTCCTCAGTGCAGGGAGACATTCAGCCATCGGCCTGTTCTCAGGAGGAACAACATGCTGGCTGAGGTGAGGGGACAGAAATGAACTTAGCACAGACTCTGTAGTTCACAGATAATGTAACAGTCGTGTTGTTGCATAAGAAATTATGTAACAATACCACTTTTTTCCTGTAACTGTGTAAATAATTAAAGAAGTGGAACTGGTTTTGTACTGATTTATACCACCATATTTATTTGAGCTCCAGACTTGGGCATTTAAACAATGTTTGTGTGAACACACTTCATTATGAAGCCAGGCTCAACTGGCCATCACAGAAAGATGTACTCTTAGACTGCAAAGAGAACAGATTTACATTAGATCAGAAACTCAAAATCTCCAAAAACATTCTATGTCTCTTTACAGCACACCATAACATTTTCTGTCTTTCTGTCTAGGTTGTGAATAAGCTAAAGAGCGCCAAGTCAACATGTCCTTCTCTGGTCTATGCCGGTCCAACAGATGTTGCCTGTGACTTTTGCTGTGGGATCAGAATCAAAGCCATTATGTCATGTTTGACCTGCTTGGCATCGTACTGTCCCACTCACCTCGAGCCTCACTACAGCGTTGCTGTGTTGAAGAAGCACGAGCTGGTGGAGGCTACAGTGTCAATACAGGAGAAAATGTGCACTAAGCACAATAAGTTAAAGGAGCTCTACTGTGAGCAAGATGAGCAGCTTGTTTGCTCTTTGTGCACAGTGGATGAACACAAGGGCCACGGATGTGTTTCCGCTTCAGCACTCAAGGATAAGGCAAAGGTGGGGGCAAGGAGTCAAGCACATAATGCTACCTTTCAAAGTTCAAATGCTTCAGTGCTCCCAAAAGACATGTGGACATCAGACTTACTTATTAACTCATTAATAACATTACTGATTACTAATATTTAAATGCATCACTGGATGCAAAACTGCCTTCTTGCAGAATCAGTTGGCTTTAAATCAAAGGAAAATCCAGGACAAAGTCCAAAAGAAAGAAAAGGAGCTGAAAGAACTGAGCCAAGCTGAGGAGAGTCTCAAGGTGTGGAAAAGCAATGTTTTCAGATCTGATATGTGCATTTATCTGCTGGGTGAATAAGATAGCTGCTGAAATGAGCTTTAGTGCGTTAACATAGTCCCAGTATTTAGCTCTGATCAAACTTCCAATAAGATTTTTACCGGGCAGCACAAGCAAGCACCGCCTTCAGCACTTGTTTTTGATTTGCTCTTTTTCACCTTTACTTTGAGAAACATGCTGTTGATTTTTCTCATCTGATGACTTCAGTTTAGCATTCTCTCTTTAGATGTGATTTGCGCCCCACAGGTGGTTGTTAACAACATATTTTAATGCTTAACAGATTCTCTACAATTGTCTCGGTCTGTGGGGTTCAAAGATCAAGTCGGGTTGTTGTTTTAACTGAAGAAAGATAAACTTTTAAACTAAAAACAGATCTGCGATGTGCCAACAGAGTTCTGCTCTGACTTCCCTGAATGACTGTGACAAGATCTTCGATTAGCTCATCTCTTCCATGCAAAGAAAACAGAGTGAGGTGAAGCAGCTGATTAAAACCCAGGAAAAAACTGCCACCGCCCAGGCGGAGGACCACCAGTTTCAGTTGAAGGAGGAGATTACAAAGCTGAAGAGAACATACGCTGAACTGGAAAAAGCTTCGGATGCAGATGACCTCATATATCTGATGCAGGTATAGCTGCTCACAACCTAGCAAAGGTTTTCCTGTAAAATACCTGATTTCAAAGGCCTAAAAAACAGCACAATTCAATCCAAATGGCGAAAATGAACATTACAGCAGATATCGTAAACCTGTATGAGATCGTTTATATTTATGATGGGTTGCTTAAAAAAATGACCATTTTTGTCTTCTCCTTATATTTCACAGCATCTCTCCACTTCCTGGGATTCTCCAGATGGCTCACCTGGAGCTCCTCCTCAACGCTCCTTTAAAGACATAACTGAGTGTTTGTCTGAGCTCAAAGATAAACTGGAAATGTCACTGAAAGAAACATGGCCCATGATCTCAGCCACAGGTAACAGTTGGAAAAGAAAAAAAGAAAGCGTTGTGGATAAGTTGCTTCATACATACCCAGTGATTTTTTAAAATAACTCCAGTTTGTTTCTTCACAGTTTCATATGTTGACTTCTCACTACCTCCGGCCCCCAGCAGCAGAGAAGAGTTTTTACGTTGTATGAAATTCACTTGAAACATTATAAAATAATATACTAGTCAGTTACAGTTGAAAATAGTGGTAATATTGATCATACTTGCTGTATTTTTTGCCAGATGTTTATCCCCTCATGCTGGATGGGACCTCAAACTATCGTTATCTCCACCTGATATGTGAGAATCGCAGGATGAGGCCTTCACCCGGCCAGGCTTCAGCTCATCCGGACAGGTTCACTAAATTTCCCCAGGTGCTGTGCAGAGAGGGTTTGGCAGACCGGTGTTACTGGGAGGTAGAGGGACATGCTCGCACTCTGTCTGTAG